AGATCCATAGGACTTTTAAGCTATAATAGAAAATGAAAACTTTTTGATATTAGGGTTTTAAAAATATTTACCCTTGGTGAAATTTTTAAAGCTTTATCATATATTATACATAAAAGTTCAGGTCAATCAAAATATGAGTTCGGCGCTATAGAATAACTGTTCAAATCAATATATACAGATATCAATAAAAAATATTTTTCTACACAGTTCTATTGTTACCAATACACAATGTGGTAGAATATTAACAATCGATAGTATCTGTATGAAAAATTGAGGTGCATATAAAAATCGGCATGTCGGCAGACTGAGCAGAAACAAAAATAAATTCGGCACCTATCTCGATCATCTACCTGTTACTGTGTCAAACACGCTAAATGTCGAATTAATCATATAGAAGATTATTTTTATACTTTAGGGCATTAAAAAATATAGTTTACTTATAACAGACTAGCGGTTTATCCTCGCTTCGCTCAGGTTCATACTTAATCAAAACAAATCTATCTCACGGGAACCGTACATGTTTCCCGGGATAAAAAGTAGCCTATGTGCTATTCCAGCCTATAATCTATTACTGTGCCAAATCTCATCTAGATCCGTTCAGCCATCCTAGCGTGATTGAGTAACAAACATCCATCCATCCAACCTTTCGAATTTATTTAGTAAATAAGATAATAAGTAAGATTTTTAATATTATTAAACTTTTATTTTTTAATACGACATTACTTTAAATGCTATAATATGTGAATGGTGAAAATTTGTATATAATTTTCACTTTTTATCCCAAAAATTGAATAAACCCATATACTAAATTTTTCAATACATAACACTGTGATCAACTAAATGTTGATATTTTGATTAACGTTCATGGGTGTATGATTTACACAATTAGGCGAATTTCGACCACAGACGATCTGTACATATCTTATGAAATATACAGACCAAGGTTTGATGTTACGGTTAGTTTTCATCAAAGATGACAACTAATTAAGAACGGGTCACATCTTTACGTCAATTTATGGAAGTAAAAGAGTGCCAAACGTTTTAACTAATAATTTTCATTATTCACATAATAATGTAGGTAATTTATATGGGATTATAAAAAACTTACTATTTAATAATTTTATAAGAAAATTCTTGCGCTATATATTTCTTTTTAACATTTACTCTTAATTTTTTTAATTAAAAACGCATCTCAGATAACAGATAAAAAAAATATTCCATTAAAAATACCTTGCCATATAACAGTCAGCTGTTCAAATTCTATGCATACCGCGTTGAGGCCGTCGTTATTTCAATTACCCCTCGTCAAAGACAAAAGACCTGACACGGGAAAAAACCAAACAAAAAACTAAACAAACGCTCATCAGTCGAATTAGAAAAAATCGTCTTATCTATGATAGGATCGCGGTCGTGTAAACGCATTGAAGTGTATTATGTTCGCCGACTTTTCGGTAGCGTTTTTTATGAAATTGAAACTGGACTTTTTCTTGTAGATTCCGGCGGGATATCCGAATAATATATCTAAATTACTGCTAATATTTCGTTCGATTATCAAAAAAAATCTTTCTTATAATACCATGACGACGTCGGCTAGACATGTTTCATAACGCTCGTTATCACAAAGCGTAAATCAAATTAAAAACCAATCACCCCTCATAAAATATGTCCGATAAGTGGAAATCGAGTTACCCCAGGTAATCGAGAAATTATTCAGCTATGAACAATCGTGGCGCGGCACTTGGGCAGAATGGCGAAAATCCAAGCCTCAGTAGCCTTGCTTAATCTGTTGAAATAGTGTTGTAACTACGCAATCGATAATCGGTACTAAGGGAGTCTAAGGCTGAAGTATATTAAGCTTAAACATTTTACAAGATGAAAAATTGAATTTAACATGGAGATACCTACATACATATTTACATATTTGTTTTGCTATATATTTTAATATACATTATTATAAATCCATAATGTAGACATACTTATATTTACAGTATATTAGTAAGAAAATAAAAATATATCTTCACATTGCATTTCTGAAATGATTAGATAGAAATGAAAAAGCGCAAAACCCTATTTATGCTTCCCCAATTCGCCAAAGGGTTCTCAGGGATGGATGATATTTAGTACACAGATATCCACTGTCAGTTACAAAATTTCACTTAGGGATACACCCGAGCGAAGTATAGATCAGTCACTAGTTCTTCTATATTATATAGCTATTACATAGTTAGTCACTTTTAGTATTTAATAGCATTGCCCGCGGCTCCGCCCGCATTCAAATGACCAAAAACCAAATTCTTAAGTTTTATATAGGTATTAGTATACACTTACATTACAGTTTTTGTATTTTTTCTCAGAATTAAGATGTTTTCGGTAAAAAGTATCCTATATGTTGACCCGGATAACCAGCTATCATCATACCAAATTTCATCAAAATCCTTTTAGTAGTTTTCTTGTGATGCGGTAACAGACATACAGACAGACAAAAATTCTAAAAACTATAGATTCGGACTCTGTATCGATAATAATGTTTATTTCAATAAGATATTCCAAAAAATATTTAATGTACAGATTCGACTTAGTTAGAATTTTATTATATTTATAGATATACAGAATAATATGAAGGGATAATTTTAAAGTACTAATAAGGTAAGTACGGGAAAATTGTAAAGCTATAATATTATTAATAGCACTAGTTTTAATTACTAAGTATTAATTGCAATCTAAATAGATACAAGTAACTATATTGTAAAACTCTAGGAAATATCTAAGTTATAACTCTAAATACCATTTATAGGTACCATAAGATGAGTTCTAGCAAAAAATTTGCTTTTACCGGTTGAATAAATTTTGCGTGAGAATTTGACATATGAGCTGCCATTATTTTACACCTAATAGGTAGTTCCAAAATATCCAATAACAAAATGTAACCAAGTTATTTAAAAGAAGCCATGAAATTAAAGAATTAATTTGAATTAAATGGTGAGACCTAATGCTTATACAGTGTATTTGTATGTATAAAATTATAATTGCTGCTTTTCAAAAATAATAGTTGTTTTGCTTGAGAATGACCGGTAAATTAAGTTAAATTAATTCGCTACACCAAAGGTCACAGATTCGATCCCACCGGTAGATCCCATATATTATGAGTGTTTTTTATGGTGTTAATTCATGATTAGGATCTATAGAATCTTGTAATATTATAGAATAAAAAACTTTTCAATTTTTAATATTAAGTATGTATTATGTAAGACAAATTAATGTACATATTGTATGTATAATTAAAGAAGACATAATAGTACCTTTAAATATGAAGTAAAATATCCTGCTTTAAACATCATGTCCCGTATTAGGCACGACCTATATTGACAGCATTTATATCTTAATGACTAAATATTTGTATGTATAAGACACCCTTGCTTGTATAAGCTCTATATTATAGAGTTCAAACAATTACCTACTTGTTAAAGAATATAAAGATAAGAAAATTTACGGTTTTTGTATTATATATTATAATATTTGTATTTTTTGCTCAGTGTGCGTTGTCACTAAGTTCAATAGCACAGCTGACTCTTATTGGCACTTGATAATCGATAAATATTAATGTCAAGGGAAAGTAATACAGGGTAATTGATGAAACATAGCTATATTTTTTGCTGGACGTCATCGACTAATATGCAAGTTTGGGTGTTGTTAGATTCTTTCTTTTAGGCTAAATTTATGCTTTTTTGTTAGTTTTTCATACACTGCGTATAAACATGTGAAAATATTTTGTTATCTATAATATAATATTATATAGAGGTAAAGTTTGTGAGTTTACGAGGTTGTAGGGGACAATCTCTGGATCTATTGAACCGATTTACATGAAATTTGCTAAGAAGATAGTTCGTGACTCTAAAAAGGACATAGGATACTTTTTATCCCGGAAATTATCCTTAAAGGGTATGAAAATGGGGATGAAAGTTTGAATTGGTTAGCAAGCTAGGGACGAACCCAAGCGAAGCGAGAGTGAGACGCTAGTATTTAATAATACTGAATGAAGCGTGTGAATAAATATTTTTATAATAATCATGTCAACATTAATGAGAAAATATGTTTTACTTTAGATGATTATTATTAAAAATATGCGATTAAGTAGAAGTAGTGATTAAAAATCCAAATATAATTAAAATATATGACTTTTATTATGTATAATCGTTTTATTATATCGTAATAAGTAATATGGTTTAGAATCATTATTTTATCTTTATAAATCTTTTAGCGTTAGCCAATTCGATTCCAGTCTGTGGCAGGTGTATGCAGCAACTAAATTAAGACCTCGTGAGGTTATTTATAATTTTAGTTAAATATTAAATGCTTTACCTACTTTAACTAATTAACAGTAACACGTTTCTCATAACGACTTTAGGAAATTATTTAACACCTCATTATCAATGCTAATGTTTACCTACTTGATTTACGATTTTTCTTCAACTAAATTATAGTTTTAAGTTTGAAAAAAACCCTGAATTTTGAAACAATATTTTTTAAATAAAACAGCTATCTAATAAAGTACGTAAAGATTTACTTTAAAAAGACCGGTGTGCGACCTATTGAAATACTGAACGTATAACTAAAGTAAATACCCTAATAACCATGACCGACACAATGGTGTCCCGCTGGCCGACGACAGATCGCCCAAACCTTTTTAATTATAATATCACATGCATTATAAACTTTTTGCTCTAACAAAAAAGGCTACTTTTTAGGGTCTGAAGTGGGCTTTAAATGCGTGTTTGTACTATTGACAAGGGTAATCATTATTAATGTTAAACCGACACACCCTATGCAGTTTAGGGAACAAAATGTGTATTGGTAACGTCGTACATGACTGTGATAAGCGTAACAATGAGATTATATAGAAAATAAAACATAATATACTCGATGGATTTTTAAATGTTAATATTATTTTTGATTTAAAATTAACAAATAAATTATTGAGTGCTTAAAAATTCATCGATTCAAAGCGATCTAATAAAGCAGGTACTCACGAATCCGTGTTTGTCGCTTATATTATTTGTCAGCTTCAACTTGTGGAAGGAGACAACCTTTTGCATCCATTGTTCGCCTGTTGACGGCGAATCTGGGTGAATGTACATCCTCTTGGGCATCTCAGGATCTGCCTTGCCGGCAACCATCCACCGACTCCGGGAACAAAATAAATAATGTATTCACAGAAATTAAGGCAAAAATTATATTATTTTCTCAAAAACTTAAATGAAATATAGAACCATCACCAAGGTGATCTAACCTCATCAATGGCCAGAAGCTAATTATGTATCTACCAATGAAAGTGAAATTAATTTTTAATTAAAAAGAACACACGGCACCAAAGACAGGTGGTCGCATAAATTATAAATGTTATGACGTTATAAACAATGTTCTTTTTACACAAGACAGAAACTTGTTGGGTGTGAAAATATTTATTTGATTGTAAAAATTTTGGCCTCTCTAAAAGCTGTCAAACATGCATTGTTATGAGGATCATGCTCAGTTAAAATAAAAATTGAACATTACAGCAGTACTTCAGCACATGATAAGTTAAATGATTCAGTTAGCAGGGTTCAAAGCATGTGAATAAAAGAGGTCTGCGTAGAGCGGAACAAAAATTATCAATACAACGATAAATCTGCGTTACCCAAACGACGACTACAATTCGAAAATGGGCTAACCATACGTGATAAGGTTTGAAAACAGATCTAATAGCGAGCATAGACTATTTCGCTTCATGGAATATCCGGTTCGTTAACAAAACGGTAAATACGATATTTTGGGAATACTAGAACAATTAATTTTACCACGCAGATCCCTATCGTTCACATTTATATACGCATGCTTCTTGCCTTATTGTTCTTTTAAATACCGAATTACATTAAAATAAGATTGATCTATTTGGTCCAAGTGACGTGATATCGATAATATGATTTTCTTATTTTAATTTAATTCTTCCATCACTTCTTTATTTATACCTGTTGTGGAATTTGTATCTGCAATCGTCGGCAGCTACGATGTCCATTAGCAAAATGTATTTTGCTTTTTTATCAAGACCAGAAACGCGAACTTTGTAGGCAGGAAACATACGTCTGCAAGCAATACGAGAGAAAAACATGGATTGGGACTCGTTCTTTGCGACAACGATTTGACATCACGTCGATTGTGAGACATGCCGCTAGACTAGTTTCACTTTTTGTGCCCATTAGATATCAAGAAACTGCTGTTTTCGCTTGTGATCTCGTACCGCACTCATTAGATATATTTACATAAATTGATCTGTTCGAACCGTTCGAAAATGTTATGATGATATGATTTTAATTAAAGATACCTTCACGTTTGGAAATGGTCGTCTAATCAACGCCGCCTACAAGTTGTTAGGTGTTAGTATTTCGCTGGACAAAAATGTATCCGTCAAAACAAACCAAAAACGGTAAGTCGCGTCCATTGTATGGTTTTCTGTTTTTTGCGAAACGTGACCGGCGCACGTGAACATAATATGAGCTCTTCTACAAAACGAGACCGATCAACTTGTGAATCTCTAACATCATCAAAAAAGTCATATTTGGAAATTTCTGATCGCGTAATTAGTGAATATTGATATGTAATAATTAATTATCATATTAACGGCGCTAGACGGACGGTTCCTTTGTCGGCGTCGCTATCGGTTTACGGCTGAGTCACAGTTGAATTTTCGGTCGGAATGCACGGGTCGTATTAATTAACGTATATTAAATCGAAGTTTATCGGTCGCATCTCGATGTTGCTAAACCTGCGCGTCGGCGGTTTTGATACTTGACTTCGATCAACGGCCGAACATAAAATGGAGAGGTGGACCTTATCGTATCATGTCATCAAGAATTAAACAATATATATGATCAAATACGATGATTATCGATTTCAAATGCAGCTTATTCGGATGCTACCTCCTTGAAGTCAGAAAAGTGGTTTGATGTAACATATTGACAGCGTTCACTAGATCTACATTAGTAGTTACAATAAATCAGGTCACTCCATATTTCTCACCTCTTATGTGGCTCATTTCGTTTTTACGTTACCGCTGCGGAGTTTGAGACAAAGATATTTTAATGATATTACCCATTGGATGCGTGTTGAATCCTTAATCGTTGGACGATTCCAGGCGATGTTCGCTTTCCGTAATGTCGTTGCCCTTAAATTGAGCGTAGTTACGAATTGTTTACAGACAATTAAGAGCGTATCGGAATCAAATTGGTGGGAACTAGTGCAATGTGTGGGTAGAATCACAAGCTTAATGAAGAAGCGTCTAACGGTACTATGTTTAGCTGCAGCATCTTCAATCAACGGTCAGTCAGTGAAACTATTTCTATAGCAGAAAATGTGGTAAGTCTGCGTAATGTTACATAAATAGTGGACCAGCAATTTAGTGTGTAAAAACACTATATTCTTGGTCGGGAGAGGAAAAGATGATGATGCGCGTGATGATCCCAGCGTGCGAGGTCTACCTGTTATGAAACTTATATCGGTAGTCGTCGGCTGCTACGATGTCCAGAAGAAGGATGTATTTCGCTTTCGCGTCCAACCCGGACACGCGGAACTTCATTTGTGGGAACATTTGTCTGCAATTGGAATTTGCTTTTATCTCAACCAACCCTTTAAAATTAATCTATATTAAATGTAAACGATAGAAGATTTATATTTCTATGTATGTACAATAAGCATAAATATACAAAGCTTTTTATTTGTTAAGATTATTAGGTAACTATTTTTTTTAATTGCAAAATATTACTTTTCTTATCGATAAGATAAGTAAATTTGCTTGATGTTTTTTTAATTAGTTTCTAACATTTTCACACAATACTTTATTACATTAACATGTCGGTATAAAGTTAACAAAAAAATTATAACTAAAATACTTAACCTTGGCAGTGAACCGTCAACCATATTCTTTTCAATAATTTATACAACTTATAGTAAAAATAAAAAATAAAACGCCACCGTCGCTGAATCCTACTCAAAAATTAAAAATTAATGATAAATGTTGTTGTACCTATTTACAACAGTAAGGAACATATTATCATTTATTTTAATAATAAGACCAAATGCTATGTATTTTCCTCGTGCCAACTTAACTGTTTCTAGTTTACGCGATATCAGTGACCAGTGTGAACGCAGTTTACCGCTCATTAGGCTCTGATTTATTTCCTTTACGTGATGACCACGGAGTGATTGTCGACAGCCTGATTGATGTCATGCCGTGTGAAGCACCACTCAGAATATAAAGTGTCCAGTTTAACGTTTTACTTACAAAACCTTAAATCCGTGTTGTGACTTATGTTTTAGGCATAGGTGGTCTAAAAGTTTAATCCTAAAAAAACAATTTGTTTACCTATACAATTTGAACGTCTTTTTGCAATTCATAGTTTATAGTTAAGTTTATTTTCAGGCAATATAATGGAGATTGTTTGGAGCATGAAAAATATTGGGACAATATTATTTCCACACAACATTGACACCTGTCATCATCCTTTTATGAGTTGTACTTAAAAGAATCTTATAGAATACATTATATGAATATATTGTAAATTTTCAGCCCTTTAGGGTCAGCGGTTTTGTCTGAAAATAATAATATATCCCGGACAAACAGCTTTATAATACTTTATATAGGAAATATATAGTTTAGACGATTAATCAAAATAATATAATCCATAAGCCACATTTATGTTATTCAACGCTGTGCTTTATCTTAACTAGACCGGAACAAACATCTATATTATAGAGGGAATCGAACCCGCGACCTCCAATTCAGTAGGCAATGACAGTCACACCTCAATGCATCATGCTGGTGGAGGTCAGTTGATTTTATTTGTCCTAGTCTTTTAAATAATAGCGAATGCCCACGACTTCAATCATATTTTCCCGATATTACGTTCCACCAGCAAAAGTGCTGATAAAATTGGCGTCTATAAACTAGTTTAAATCGAATCAGTTGTTCGATTATCAGATACAATAAGACAGCCAAATTGTTTCTTATTAGTTGCTTGAGCACTAATAATCTTTTGTAAATAAGAGCCTAGTGGTAGTATCTATACATATAATAAAAGTGTAGAGGTCGAATGTCTGCACATAGAAAAAAAATGCTAAAAACCGAGTCAGGGGGATATAAGAAGAGAAATAGGACAAATCCAGATTTTTTCAATTTTTTTTCTGTCTGTTTGTCTGTTTGTACGGGCTGATCTCAAAAACTGTAGGACCGACTAAAATGAAATTTTGCATGATGGTACCTTATATCCCCTGTCAATATTTTAGATACTTTTCATCCCGGAAAATTAAAGAGTTCCCGTGGGATAGATTTGTTTTTATTTATCTGAGGCAAACCCGAGCGAAGCGAGGGTGAGCCGCTAGTTTAATTTTTTTTATATGTTTAGTCTCTATGAAAGCAATTACAATACTAACTAGTGAGTTCAGCGCCACCTTTTTGCAAAATTTATTATCAAAAGTAGCCAATGTGTTACTCCAAGTCATAATCTATTTGTGTATGTACTAAATTTCAATGAAATTCGTTCACCCGTTCAGCTGTTTCAGGGAAATTAGTAACAAACACACACACACACACAGACGTACAAGTAAAGCCTTTCATATTTCGTCCCGTTATTTATAAGCCAGACAGATTTAACTTAGAACTGTTAGCATTACATGTATTAAGTAACCAACATTGCGTAATACCCGTAGCTAAAAACAAACACCTGAAACCGCACAGTGTCGTCGCAAAGTAATCCAATACATTAAATGTTAACACGACCATTATACTATGAGCCTTGACACGACACACCCTCTATACAATTTCCATATATTTGTATGACGCTAGTTAGAATTCGCAGGTCTTCACTTTGGTTGTGGCGTGTGTCAACTTTTGCAAGATATCTGATTTCGCTATACCGCAATATTAACTCAGTGTCTATTTAAAGTGGTAGGCTCGTGATGCTATATTCAATTTAAAAAAAATATTTGGTAGGTATGTTAATGTATTTAACATATTAATATTTAAATGAAGCTAGTTATAAATGGGACAATATATATTTTATATGGTATTAATAAAAATCATTTTCCTTTAATTTTATACCTATACAGATAAATAAAATTGAAGTGTCTGTTTGTAATGTCAAAATAACAGCGTTTTACTAAATGCATATTAAATTATATACGGTACATATAAGAAAACACATTTTATAAATTTTTGTCTGTCTGTCTGTTTGTTCCAGATAATCTCTCAAACGGCTAGGCTGATTTTGTCAGGACTTTCATTGGAAGATAGCTGATGTTATAGGGCAGTACATAGGCTAATTTTATTTTAGAAAAAGAATTCGGGTTCTGCTCAAAAAAACTAAAACGTACCTAGGGACGAACCCGAACGAAGCGAGGGTGAGTAACTAGTTTTTAATTTTTTTTTCATTATCTCCAAATACTAAAAAATTTCGTGAATGGCGTTCTTTATTAAGAAAACGGCTCCACTAATTGTTCACACCAATTAATTATTTCGAGGGAGAGAACAAGAATATGTACATACATCTAACATTAGCATTAATTGTTAGCTATGATAAGATAATTATTTTTAAACTTAGATATTACAAGCATTTCAGGTTTTGTAGAGTTTTTTATCTATAGCAAAAAAAAGTATCGCTTATTATCTAATATGTATTGTGTTTAAAAGGGTGTTATTTTTTACTTTTGAACTACAGAAACAAAAATGCTTTAGAAATATAAAACAATATCCTTAGTAACAAGATGTTTGCTATCAAGGTACCACGTGGGCATCGCAGGTGAAAACTAGCCTTCAAAATCGATTATTTAATATGATTATTACTTAAATAACAACAAAAACTTCAACGACGCGTCAACTGTTGAATTAACATTTTACCTTTATATATTCAACTATAAACTAGAAAAACCGGAATTAAAATTACATTTATTGACCTAGGTTTCAAAACGTTTAAGACGTCAATCAAATATCAACTTTAAATCTTTGAGATAAAGTTGAGAATCAATTGTGTATGGAAATAGCTGAGCTCGCTTCGTGAAATGGGCTCGCTAAGTATGGAGTAGGACTCTTATAAGGTGCCGATACTCTAATACTGTCATGCTTTAGGTTGACGAATATAGATATACAATACTTAAAAGAAGAAGAAGGTTTTTATTTATTATTTTTTCTTTGATTTTACAAATTATGTTAAATCTATTACATATTTTTTCATGTAGTTAGTATTTTTGTTTATAATTTTTTCATTTTTCATTTCATTTATTTCATGAAATATCTCACTAGTAAAGTAAGCTCACTATTGAGAATAGATAGATATTTAAAACATCTTTCAGTCTTCACAGTCGGTTAAACTATATTACAAATGAATTTAGTGTAATGTATGTAGTGTTGATGTATTTAGTTATATGACACGAAAAGTTATTAAAATTTTCTTTCTCAACATGCCGAAACCATTAAAAAGCTTCTATGGATAAACATTTATGCGTGTAAAGGGTTTTGTTTCCTATACATAGTGTTGGTCCCAACATTCATTTACAGGACATATTTTATATGTTTACTAGCGGACCCGACAGACGTTGTCCTGTCTACACGTCTTTAATTTGAAAATTTCAAACTTTTTTTAATAATTTTTTTGATGAAAATTATTATTCAAATTGTGAATCTAAACCATTTCCAGATCCCCTTGAACACACACAAAAAATTTCATCAAAATCGGTCCAGTCGTTTGAGAGAAGTTCAGTGACATACACACTCACAGAAGAATTATATATATAAAAGATGACGTATTGTTGACTTGGATAATAATTTATTGGTTGCTTATTCTTTTATTATCATTATCATTTCTACGGCACTATATTAATTAATTATTTATGACTTGGAAAAACATGCGCCAAGACGGTTGCATTACAATTTGTGTCAGAACCATCTGTCAATTTAACATTGATATTAAAGATAGAAATGATAAAAAATTGCTTTGTAAGTTAATATTGTTTAGCACGATTATGTGTCTACGATATGAGTATAAATTAAATTATAACGTAACTTATGTCATAAAACTCATTTTTATTGTAACATCTATTCGTAGTATCTTGTAGGACATACTAATACTATTAGTTGAGATATTTTTTATTAGAAATGGTGTTCGCGCAGTGGTCGAATTTATAATATTTAAAAAAAAACATTTGACAGTTAGAGGAGAAAATGGAACTGAACTGCTTAGTCTTTGCCTATTTATCTAATATATAAATATTTCGTGTCACGTCGTTTGTGGTCGCACTCCTCTGAGACGACTCAACTGATTTTATTTTATTTTTAATATTTGGTAAGTATGAGAATAGGTCGTAAAGTATTTTTCACTATCCTACCCCCACCCCGCATTTTTTAATCGTGATTTTAGTATTATTATATGAACAATATTATATAAATACATAGCGACGCACCCGAGCGAAGGAGGAGAGTCGTTGTATAACATAAAGCCAAAGAGATTTTTTGTAGATGGAATGCGAGCAAAGCCGCGGGTTCTGCTAGTATATACATTAATATTAATCATTATGTTGAAAAATACTAAATTTCCATTTGGTC